ATAACTAGTTTATTAATAGATATAGCTAAAGAAATTGCTTTAGGCAATTATTCTGATCTTGAAAAGAATCAGAATCTTATTTTATTAGCCTTTGAACCTCTAGATGATGGCAGTAAGTTCTTATTTATTCTAATTGTGTTCCATTATTACATTATCACAATACATTATAACAATATATATTTTTTAGATTTATTATTAGAAGAAGAAGGAATCAATGAAATCATATCTATACTTTGCAATTCATTCCATGAAATAGATGAAATATATTTATTAGATTTTGCAAAATTAATTTCTTGTATTGTTCCATTAATATGGACTCACAAAGAAATATCTATTGGAGCAATAGAAATATTAAGTACACTTTTTGAATTGCATTCACATGATTATTTTAATAATAATTCTACTTTTGTTAATGCAATACGAGATGTATGGAAGAAAAGTCTTCTAGAAGCTATTCAGAAACTTTCACAATCAAGATTTATTGATTTAACCAAAAAATTTGCCTCTTCTATGTGGAAGAAAATATATAATCAGTAAGAATATGTGTGCATTATTTAATAAAATATTTCAATGTATTTTTCATAATTTTCATTATGTTTTATTTATATTTAGAAATGAAGAATACAACAAAGAAATATTGATAGACATAGCAGTTGATTTCCTTGAAATTATACTTGATAACGAAATTTATATAAAGAAAGATTATGCAGAAGAAATTATTTTAACATTTTTAACAGATTCTGATATAAAAATGTGGATGGCTGAAATAACTGGAATAATTATATATGGTGAAGTAATAGCTGGTGAATTATATGTATCATCTCTTGAACAAAAAATACAAATTCATCAGAAATGTATATCTATTGATATAACTTGTAATACAATAACGGATCATGTTGAAAGCTGCTTGAAGTGGGCATTGTTCAATATAAATTTATTGAATAATTTATGTTTGAGATCTATCAATGAATATGAAACAGAAAAATCCAGTATTGAAAAATTTTCAATACATGATTTGAATTTACCAGGGATTATAAATATATTAATTAATATTATATATTCGATTATTTTAGGCGAAATTTATTCCAAATATTATAAATCTGTAAGTAACTAATTATAATTCATACAAAAATATTTAATTTCAATAATAAAAAAATAAATATTCTATTAAATACTTATTTTCAGACTAAATACTATTACAATGTGAATAAAACTTTAACCATTGTACAAGATAGTTTTAAAAAATTACAAATATATATAAATGAAAATATATTTAATGATATTCGTGATTATATGAAAATGTAAGAATAATTCAAGTATAGTTTTAATAGTTAAATTATTTTATAATTATTATTTATTTTGATTATATTTGCAGTAATTTTTCAAAATATGGAAGTATGTTATCATATATAATACACTTCTGTTGTACTGAATTATATTCTAATAAAGAATCTAAAGAATTATTTGAAAATTATAGAAGTAATGATATATTTACTGTAAATGAAGAAATAATGCTTCAAAGTTTACAGGTATTTTCAAAAATAATCAATTTTTAATTCTATACAATAATAGAAGATTTGATTTCAGATTTTATCCAAATTTCAAGATTTTGAAAATATTTCAATACCAACAGATAATGATATTTTTGAATTAATAATAACAAGGAGTTTATTGATGAATAAGCAAGATAGTTCAACTTATTCTAATATTTTAGAAAAAATAATATCTTATGAGAAAGAAAATCCTTCATTATTAGTTCTTGATTGGTAAATTATTAAGATATATATTTTTAAGATATAATCTAAATATATATCACTTATAATGATATATATAATTATATATATATATATATTATTTTTTTTTGGTTTTTTTAGTGAAATTTCTCAAATTTCGTGGGAAAAATTAAATTTACCTTTAGAACTTATTAGATTATTAACAGAACTCATAAAGAAAATACCTTCTAAATTAACATACGAACATTGGAACTTCATTCTTATATCATTAGTGTTATGGCAACTTTCTATTATTAAATCAAAACAAAATGTTAATGATTTTAAGGTATGTATTATACTATTTATATTGTTTAAAATCATGTATCATCAATTTTTAGTAAAAATTCTTTTTTTATAGGTTTCTGCATTAACAGTAGCTGTTTGTCAACTTTATCATGCCCTCCAAATTTTAATTAACAAACATGAACAGGAACAAATATCAGATATGTCACCAACATTATTAGATGAATGGAAAAATGTTTTTGCCACTGATGTACAAAATGGAATTATTCAATGTTGGATGTTTTATGCAGGTATATTTAAAAAATCGTTTTCTCTCTCTCTCTCTC